TCAGGCGACTGAAAGCAGGATTAGTGTAGTATAAAGATTATGGGTACAATTAAGCCAAGTATGTGTCCATTTCTATCGCCAACCCCGAATCTGACAACGTAAATGTAACCCAAGACGTAGCAATAACCCTGATCACTTACCCGAAACGCTACCCCAGATCTCCCTACCAGAATTATTATCCTGGGGAAGCCGAACAATGGCTTCGCCATAACACCAAAACTAAACTCGGCCAGCAGATCTTACCCTAACTGTAAATGAGATCTTTTCCAGACCCCAACCCCAGCTCTAGTACTAACCTTATCCGCTATTCCGAACCGTCAGAACCGCTAACTGTGGAGATTCAAAAAGTGTCGAAAAACAGGACCCTTCACCTGGTGGTATGAAAATTGGCTCTTACCGGCTAAGGCAGTTTAAGCTTAATTTAATAAATAAATCAACAGTGTTTTAAGTAGTATACATGTCGGCTACTGCGTCCAACGTAGTCTCTAGTTAGGCGGACTCGATGATTTCATTGACATCCACTGGAAGAATGGTGTGAAGACAAACTCGAAGTAGCTTTTCTCCCACCAGTCTAGTGCCTACTAAGCTCACTATAATGAATCGGACGCACATTTAGTGCAGTAATACGTGATACAATTCATAACTTAACATGTTGCCAACTGATAATACAATCAGGCCGTTCTACTGACTGAGCGGCAGGCTGCAGTCACTACTTCCCAGTGTGGCATTCACAAAACCGTCACGAGTGCGAACAGCGGGGTAGTATGGTCTGGTTTGTGAACTTGCGAAGGCCAACATGCATGTGGCACGTGCGTACATGGGGTTACCAATGCCAACCACTGCGCACACACCTCCAGTTATCTTGGCTTTGCCTCGTCATTCGAGTATGCATGCTTTTATCACATCACCATGGCGACTGAACTATTTAGTTCCGACATGTTTGTCGTACCGTCGGAAATTTACCTCAAAATGCCTCGTGGAGTCTTGGACTCAATCGCCAGAGACCAGAGACCGGATACTTTCAATCTGCGTTATGGCTGGCTGATTACGGCAAATAAGCGTTGGACATTCCGACCTAGCTAACGACTTCTCCCTCCCATTCACTCATTGGCATTCTTCTACGTCAAGACAAGAGTCCCTCTACTCTGTTCCTTCCCACATCAAATCGGATTGGTTTTGATTGGCTGTACCCACATGACAACAGCAAACCGTGTACTTACGATAAAAAAGACTTGTGCTCACTGTCAGACTTGACGACCAAGGGACACTTTTCACTGAAATTCATTATTTTATGTGGAGAGAAACGTTCTCTAACCCTTCCAATTTTTTTTTACTAGCTATTGTTCTAAGTCGGTATTTAGACTACTGGGATCCCCCACGTGGGCTCCGAACCAGATCGGTGCCTGCCACCTCCCTCTCCCCTACCCACCCCTGTGTGACGGAACATTCTCGATCTAAGCTGACATGACGCGAGCCCGTCGGCGCAGTCGCTGGAGATGACCAACTCGGAATTCGACGGCGAAGTTATTCTAAACTTCTGAAATGGAAGCATGCGCCAAAGGAAACGATATCGTGAGACCTAAGTCGTACATCCACTGGGATTACAAGCAAACATCTTATTTGCAGAAGACAGATAACCGCGTGGGTGACTGGGCAAACTGAGTGGACATTTCTGGCGCACTAGTACACACCAGCGAGCGATAACGAAGTCTACGGTGCTGACACCCTCAATCAGTAGGGAAAGTCCAACAGCTTAAGCGGATAAAATTTTGCATGATGCTCGATGACCCCCCGAATCCAGCCTCGAACACCTGGGGCCGTTATGAGGGCCATATATCACTGGTCGATGTCGCTTAATAACTCCGAAATGACCATAAGGGGTCGCTCATCTCCGCGGACATTTTTTAACCGCTGACTGCTACTTACCGACGGTGACATAACAAGTAGGAGGATAGTGCGGTAGACGCTGTGCAAGCCCACTACAACTATACACGCACAAATCACCCCGCCCGCTCTCACCCACAAAAACCAGCATGAAAATATCTGTGTATAATACGGTTTGTTTACAAAAGAAGGGAAGGGGCGCAGTCGGAGCCTGGCACCGAGAAAGAGGAAAGTGACCGAAGATGGGATTCTTGTATTGGTTGGTGATGACGTAGCAGAAAGGCGGCAGTGTTGGCTGGCGGGACCTAGTATATCACGGAAAAACGGTTAACGATGGAGGTCTGCAAGCTCTTGAGTCTACTGGAGAGTTTATCCAATGCCTGGTAGCGCGCCTCGTAGACGGGTTCGCTGCTGAGGATGAGCATCTGATTGGCCTGATCGATCCGACCCTGAACCACGTTGTCAAGGATGCAGGCCACAAGCAGGGACTCCACCTCCCTCTCTTCCAGATTCAACTGCTTCGAGATAAAAGGGATGCGAATTCGAGTGTAGGGCCGGATAAGCTTGATGAGAACCTCCGTACGAATGTTGAAGAGCAGAGCCTCAATGTGCTCACGCAGGAAGGCGTCCTCCATGATGACAGCGCGCTGTTCGCGCAGAATTTTCTCAAACTCATTGATGTCGTTCTCCTGGTAGGCAGTGACTAAACTTGTTACAGCCATGATCTGGGGGTCATCCTTGTAGGGCTTTGTCTCCTATAAAACAAACCGAAAAATGACGATAAGCCAATGTTGAGGCTCGAAGACTCTCTGATCTTTATGCACCGGTTAGCAGTATCGCCGTGGCATAGGCAGTAAGATAACTGTACGAGGAAGGAGGGAATTCGAAGGCCTATGTCAATCCTGGTACAGTTGCTATGGTAATTCGAGTCACAGTTGACCTCCTCTTCGCCTGAATCATGGCCG